GAAGACAGCCTGAGACTAGTTTGAGACCAGCCTGGGCAACACAGTGAGACCCTCACCTCTACAAAAAAACAAAACAAACAAAACTTAGCTGGGCATGGTGGCATGTATCTGTAGTGCCAACTACTTGGGAGGCTGAGGTGGGAGTATCGCTTGAGCCTGGGAATTGGAGACTGCAATGAGCCATGGTCACACCACTGCCCTCTAGTCTGGGCAACAAAGACCTTGTCTCTAAAAAAAAAAAAAAGAAAAAATTTCAAGGCAAAAAACACACTTTGAAGAGACAGAGCAAGCATTAAAAACAGACTCAGGGCCGGTCCCAGTGGCTCACGCCTGTGGGAGGCCGAGACGGGTGGATCACGAGGTCAGGAGATCCAGACTATCTTGGCTAACATGGTGAAACCCCGTCTCTACTAAGAATACAAAAAAATTAGCCGGGCGTGGTGGCGGGTGCCTGTAGTCCCAGCTATTCGGGAGGCTGAGACTGGAGAATGTCGTGAACCTGGGAGGCGGAGCTTGTAGTGAGCAGAGATCGCGCCACTGCACTCCAGCCTGGGCGACAGAACAAGGTTCCATCTCAAAAAAACAAAAAAACTGACTCAGATATGGCAAGGATGTTGGAATTATTAATTATTAGACCAGGACTTTAAACAACTATAATTAATATGGAAAAAACCATAATGGATAAAGTAGATAGCATGCAAGACCAGATGAACGATGTAAGCAGCGAGATGGAAATTCTAAGAAGCAAAAAGGAGTACTAGAGATCAAAAACAGCATAACAGAAATGAAAAATGCCTTTGATGGGTTTATTAGTAGACCAGGCACAGCTGTGGAAAGAATCCCCTAAGCTTGGAGATACCTCAATAGAAACTTCCAAAACTGAAAAAGAGAAAAAAAGACTGAACCCCCCCCCCAAAAAAAAAAAACCCAGAACTTAATATCTGAGTACAGTGGCACAACTACAAAAGGTGTAACATACGTGTGAAGAGAATTCTAGGAAAAGAAAGAAAGGAACAGAAGTATATTTGAAGCAATAATGACTGAGAATTCCCACAAATTAATATCAGACACCAAA